ACACACACACACACACACACACACACACACACACACACACACACACAGTTATGGAGGCACACGACTCCGCTACCCTCGCAGAGGCCCGGTAGATGTGCTCCGGTTGTCATGGCAATAGAGAGGTAAGCTTCTGCCAACAAGTCGTCCGGTTGTGTCATCCCAACCACCGAACCTGAACATCGTCTTCAGGAAGGGGGATCCCCGGATCGCTGGACTGAGGGATGGTGTTGTGAACTCCTCCGGGTCCTCGGATGAGAGAGAGGAATCCTTGCCCATTGCTGGCTTCATTGCTAAATTAACCCTGTTGCAGATGACTAAGGATCTCTTCTTCACACACAAAAGCTCGTCACCCCTCCAGACAACCCCCTTTACCGGCTCCTCAAGTCAAACCAATGACGAGGGCTAAAGCTCAAGTAAAAGAACAGTATTGGGGCTTCTTTCCCACTTAATGGCTGTGTGCTCTTGGGCCTCAGCTCCCTCCTATCGCATAGAGTCCTTAGAGGCCCGTAGGGGTAATGAAGGGGAAGGCATGTGATAAGCCATAGGCTGTTACTATTTTTGTTTTCCCTGTGTTCTGCCTTACGTGTCGGCCCCCACCCAGTAGCCAAGTAAATGTCACATTGGGTCCCTGCTGTGGACCATTCACTGGGCCTGGTACCAGGAGATGGGCCCAGAGGTGACTAAGACAGAGCTTCTGCCCTCTGGGAAGTCACCATGCTGGTGTGCAGACTGGCATGTAAACAGCTAGCTGACGTCATCCAAGTCAGCATGTGATTAGAGTTGCAGTGACGTGTGCTGGGATGTCACAGGACTCATTAATTCCTGCTGAGGAATGAGAAGAGATTTTTGTGAATGGTTTGAACTAGTCCTTGAATGATGAGTAGAATTTTGCTGGGTGTGGTGGCACTGAGGAGGCAGAGGCAGGCAGATCTCCTAGTTCCAGGCTTTCACTATGTTCTATAGTGAGTTTCAGGACAGCCACGACTACACACAGAAACCCTGTCTTAGAACCCTCTCGTCCCCCCCAAAAAAGAAAGATGAGTAGAATTTCACTCCCCATAGTGACAGCAAGGAACAGGTCAGGCAGGATCAGTGGGTACAAAGGTAGAGATGTTCGGTAGTTACTTCCTGTATACCTGAAAGTGGGGTGATTGGGCCCATGGGGCCGTGAATCTACACTGCTTACTAGCGGTTTTCCTCGTCTCATGTTCATTGCTCAAGCCCTTGCCGAAGTGACCCCTCTCCAGAGAGTATTCCCTGCCCAGGACAGCCAGAGTAAGCCCCTGCTGTCTTATCAACACCACCCTCTGTCAAGGGCAGCCACGAGGGTGGACACAGGGACATCTCGCTTGGGGAGATACCAATAATAAGCTTTAGGAAGAAAGAAACCAAGAGCCCATCTCTCATTTTCTATATCAAGTCTGTAGGAATGGGCCAGGGTCTTCAGATTTTGTGCTTTTAATATTTATACTGTTGACTCTATAACCTCCTTCCTTTTTTGGTTAATGAGTTGTTTTTATGTGTATGCGTGTTTTTCCTCACATATGTATGTGTACCTCATGTGGGCCTGATACCCTTGGAGGTCAGAAGACGGCATTGAATCCCCTAGAACTGCTGTTTCAGATGGTTGTGAGCTACCATGTGGGTGCTAGGAATCCAACCTGTGTCCTCTGTAAGGGCAGTAAGTGTTCACAAATACTGAGCCATCATCTTTCCAGCCACACGATTGTGGTTCTTATTATTTACTTATGTGTTTCTCTGTTTGGAGACAGAGTCTCACCTTTAATCCTGGCACCACAGAGGCAGAAGCAGGTGAATCTCTGTAAATTAGAGGCTACCCTGGTCTACCTAGTGAGTTCCAGGCCAGCCAGAGCTACACAGTAAGACCCTGTCTCAAGGGGAAAAAAATGTTCTTTGCTAGAGCTGGAGAGATGGTTCAGAGGTTAAGAGCACTGGCTTCTCTTTCAGAGATCCTGAGTTCAATTCCTAACAACCACATGGTGGCTCAGAACCAACTATAGTGAGATCTGATGTCATGCAGGCATTCCTGCAAATAGAGCACTCATATAAATAAACACCTGTTCTTAAAAATGCTCTATTCAGAGGGCTGGAGAGACGGCTCAGAGGTTAAGAGCACTGGCTGTTCCTCCAAAAGTCCTGAGTTCAATTCCCAGCAACCACATGGTGGCTCACAACCATCTATAATGAGATCTGGTGCCCTCTTCTGGTGTGCAGGCATACACGCAGGCAAAATACTGTGTAAATAATAAATCTTTTTTAAAAATGCTCTGTGTTAGATTATTCCCACTCCTAGGCACCATGAGAAAGTAGTCTCTGTGGTGACACCTGGTGGTTGAAAATGTCACTGCCTAAGTTCCTTGCTTTCTACAGCTTTCGCTCCCAACAGGGCTCTGGTTAGGCAGGCCTTCTGACCACTTCAGATTATTTTCATCATCTTACCAGCCCAGGAGACCCAATGCTTCTGTTCAAACTCACTTTCTTCCCCACTCCAAGCCCTTTCCTACCCTTTTGATCTTTAGACCACCCACCGAACACAGGCAGGGTGGAAGAAGAAACATGGTCACATCAGCCATCAAAAGATGGCCTGCAGCTTGAAGGATACACACTTCTCAGTGATTTAGACTCCTTGGATCTGGGATCCAGAGTCAGAAAAGGTGGATTCGAGACCCCGGATGACAACTCTCCTTGCCTCTGTTAAAAAAAAAAAAGTCTCTGGCTGAAGATAATGGTTTATGCCTATAACCCCAATTCGTAGGAAATGGAAACAGTTGGATCGGGAGTTCAAGGTCATCCTCAGCTTCATAGAGAATTCCAGATAAAAAGGAAGTCTCTCAAGATCTCAGTTTTCCATCTAGAAAGTGGAGTCAAAGAGTACAAAGAACACAACCAGCTCTTTGAGTTTGCTGGAAAGATTAAATGAAAGAATACGAACAAACCCTACAGTTTCAGTACTCAGGAGGCTGAGGCAGGAGGATGGAGAATTAGAGGCCAGGGTAGACAGACAAAACAAAACACAAAGCTGCACACAGGCAGCAGCAAAGGACATGCCCTGGAATGCCACCTTGAAAGTAAGGGCTAATGGTTCTGCAGGTGGCTGACACAGGATGAAGGGAGTAGACTAACCAGGTCGGTTCCTCCGCCTGTCCTTGGTAGGAGCACAGCTAAGGCAGCATCCTTTGAACAAGGGCAGAAATTGCTCAGCATCCACACTTCCGCCCCCCTGGATGTACTGTATTGTCCAGGATGGCAACCCTCCATACTGAAGGAGGCCCAGCTTTCTGAGTGACTCCAGTGCAGTCCTCTAGCTGGTCAGCCTCATATTCTGGTGGTTGAACCCTCTCCCCACTGGGCATGGTGGTGCATGTGTGCCTGTGATCCAGTACCCAGCGGCCAAGGCAGGACATTGAGGGTTTGAGACCAGCCTGTGCTACATGAAAAGACCCTATCTCCAAAACCCAGACAACAAGAAAAATAAAAACAAAACAAAAAACCCTATCCCTGCTTTGGGCTCATCTCTTCAAAGGAATTTTTTTCTTCTTTTCTCTGCTCCGAGTTCCCAGACCAACAGTGACTCTCCTTGGCTTAATTCCTATAGCACTTATCATCTTGCATTGTGTCCTGCTCCTCTGGTTCCTATTACAACCAACTTCATTTATTCATTCAACAAATATGTATTGAGTGTCCGCTCTGTGCCAGCTACTATTGCAGATACTGGCCAGTGAGCAAGATCCAGTCACGGGGCTGATCCATTCTGGTGTGGGAGGGAACCATTAAGCAGATACACAAAGGAGCATATGTGAGGTCATGAGTGAGCAGTGCCTTGAGCAAAACAAAGACTTGGGTGGGTTTTGTCTGGTCAAGTTTGGCTTACAGAATGGAAAAAAAATATCTCTAAAACAACATTGACTGTGACAAGGACAAGAAAATGGTCAGGCTGGCCAGAGAGGAGTGCTATAGAGATATAGTTATTTAGAGATAAGGTCTCACTATGCAGCCCTGGCCAGCCTTGGAACTTTCTGTGTAGAGCAGGTTGGCTTTGAACTTGGCAGAGATCCACCTGCCTCTGCCTCCCAACACTGTGATTAAAGGTGCGAATCACTTCTCTTGAATGGAGTCATACAGTGCTAGCCTGATGTCTGTTACTATCAAGTTTGAGATTCATCCATTCACCTAGTCAATTTTTCTTTATTGTCACGTACTATTCTGTTGTATGAATGTATCACAACTTACTTGTCCATTCACCTGCTGAAGAACATTTCTTTGTGTGTGTGTGTGTGTGTGTGTGTGTGTGTGTGTGTGTTTATTTTTGTTCTGGGATGAGTTCTTGCTCCATTGTTCAGGCTCACATGAATTAATGATCTTCCTGCCTCACCTCCTCATGGGTGGAAGTGCTAGATTATGTGCTATATATTAGTTATGTGACCTACTTCTAGTAGATACTGCCAGTTTTCCAAAGTGGTAGTACCAGTCTACATTCCCATCAGCAGCACATAAAAGTTCCAGTTATACCCAGGCACAGTGCTGCACACCTATCCTTCAGCACTTGGGAGGCTGAAGGGATAGGACTGACAGCCATAGGCCAGTCTGAGCTACATAGTGAGTTCTTGTCTCAGGAAAAAAGTTCCGAGTCCTCACTAGGACTGGTGCCTCCTGTCTTTTTCATCTTGGCTACAGGCGGTGAAACTACAGTTTTGGACAGAATGCATGGGCTGCAGTGTAGAGTCCTGGCTGGCCGAAAGTAGGGGTGGGCTGGAGACAAGACGCTGCTGAACCAGCAGGAGGTTGGCCTTGTCATCCCGCAGGTGGCATGGGTTAGGGCAACCAAGGAAAGTAACAATCCAGATGTGCTGGATTAGCCGAGGGGAGTGGCTAATTAAGTGAATGAGGCTGGGCATGACAGTGCTCCATTTTAATCTCAGCACTTTGGAGGTAGAGGCAGGAGGATTGCTGTAAGAGTATAGTGAGCTCCAGGCCATCCAGAGCAATACAATGAGACCCTGTCTCAAAAACAATAAATAATCAAGCAAAAAGATGAGTGAGGATAAGTCAGAATAGGCAGGTGGGGTGAGTTCTGGATGTTTATTTCAGACAGGGTCTCGGTATGTAGTTCATAGACCTCTCTATCCTCCTGCTACCATCTCCTAAGTGCTGGGATTACAGGCATGCCCCTACCACACCCAGCTAGATGCTAGACTGTGTTTGTGTGTGTGTGTGTGTGATGTCTTGTTTTTTGAGACAGGGTTTCTCTGTGTAGCCTTGGCTGTCCTGGACTTGCTTTGTAGACCAGGGTGGCCTCAAACTCACAGAGATCCACCAGCCTCTGGCATGTGCCACCCCACCCAGCATGTGGTATGTCTTTGCATTCATGAGCTAGGGCAGGCGTAGAGAGGCCAAAGGACTCTCTTCCCTGCTTCCACTTTTACATGGGCTCTGGGTATCAAACACAGATTGTCCTCAGCCTTGCAGACTGGGCCAATCTCCCAGGCCCCTACAGTCTAGCTTTTTGCCTTGAGAAGCTGGATGGAAACACCACCAAAAGAAAAGAAAAAAGCAGCCCGATGCAGTGGCGCATGCCTGTAACCCCAGCACTCAGGGAGGCAGAGGCAGGTGGATCTCTGTGAGTTCAAGGCCAGGATGGTTTACAAATCGAATCCAGGATAGCCAAGGCTGTACAGAGAAGCCCTGTAAAGAAAAAAGCTGGATGAACGAGAGGACGATTTTCTGTTATCAAGATTGAGGGAGGTTCAGACAAGAACTCACATGAAGCTATTTAAGTGTACAATGTGTACTGGAGCTCAGGCTATCACGAGACTTAACACAGGCTCCGTGCATCTCTATCTTGGCAAGACTGGTAACTGCCGGCTGCATGAATACCTTGTGCTGCCTGCCTCAGATGGGCCACGATTAGGGTAGCAGGCCTACCTGGAGCCCTGGAACTAGGACTTTATCGGGGCCTGCTCAGCCTTGGCTTCAAACTTCACTGGGTTAGAAGTATGATCACATATCTACATGACCTGGAACAAATGAGGACAGAACCGTCTCCTGTTAAGGTAGCATCCCTCTCTCCCACTCACATTTCATTCTAGACAGCCCTGCTAAGGGACCTTGAGTGCTGGGAGTGTGTTCCCTGTTCCCTTTCCCAACCTCAGCCCTTCGCCAGCCTCCGAGAAACGATGGAGAACATCGGGAGGTTGATTCATAAACTTTAGTGTATTTTTTCTTCTACCAAGCAGTTTCTGCAATGACAACGGGGAAATACACATGGTTTTCCATTAAAGCTACAGGGGGCCCCTGAGAAGCAGTGGGGCAAGCATCATGACCAGAGGCAAGTAGCAGCCAAGGGGTGGGGGAGGTGGTGTTCCTGGAGGACTTGGGAGCTAGAGGAGGCTGAGGAGGGGTCACCAAAGAGCAGCAGGAAGCCTGGGCTGCAGGGGAGCAGCCAGAAGTTGCAGGGAAGCGGCAGAGCATGGGGGTAGCATGGTCTCCGTCACCCCCTTGGGCGGGGGAAGTGGTATGGCATGCCTGTGGATATTTTGACAGGAACTGCTGTATAAAAGGGACTGTACAACATAACCTATAGTACAGTGTTTACATATGATACACGGTTCTCCCCCTCTTTGGGTTTTAAAAAATAAATGTACAATTCCAGAGCTTTGGGTAAAAAATATGTACACTCCCAGAGCAGGAGCCGCAGCTGATTTCACTGCTGCCTCAGCCACTGCTACCTCTTCAGAAGGGCCAGGAAGGAGGGTGAGGCTGTGCCAGGAAACCCCACCCAGTAGCTGCCAGGAGCCCCCCCGAAACTCCCCAAGCCCCTGCAAGCCCTGGAGGCTGTGATGGGAGAGGGAAGGGTGACAGGTATTGAAGGCCTTGCCAGAGCCTAGCTCCATCTTTATAGCTGCTGCTGTCTCGCTTCTCCTCACTCAGAGGAGGAGCTATCTGCCCTAGGTACTGAGATCCACCCTTGGCTCTACAGAAAGACAAAGGGGAATAAAGACAGACAGATGGACAGACTGTGTGGCTGGTGGTAGACACAGAGCCAGAAGGATGATAACTCCCTCCTTAGCAGTGAGAACTGCCCCCCCCCGCCCAAAGCAGGGAGGTATGAGGAACAGCACCCCTAGTTCTAATACCACAAGCGTCCCATCTACTGTAAGGTAGAGGCAGGGCCCAGGAGGCAGCTTAGGCCTGTTTCCCTGAGCTAAGCATCTCAGCCTCTCACTGGCACATACCCAGAAGTTTTGGGGAATCTTGGGTGGGGGATTTGCAGGGGCTGATGGGTAACTCCCCTGCTCACTGATATTCCCTGCCTTTGAGAACACGCTGGCCCACAGTCTTCATATGTAGGACAGAGGGTGGAGCTGGGCAGGCAGTGGAGGAGACATAGCCAACAAGGGTAGCACCAAACAGGAAAGGACCCTCAAAACACCGGTGACACCCTCCCGACATTATCAGATGCGCTCCTGCTCCCTAAAAGCAGGACATGAAAACACACACACACACACACACACACACACACACACACACACACACACA